AGTACATTTACATTTATCATAGATCAACCCACTTCTTATTCGTTTCTTATAATAATTGGTATAATTTCCTTTAGTCAAGGGTAGCCTGGAAGAAATTGCTACCTTAGTAATAAAGCCGCCTTTGGTGTTTGGTTTTGATTGTAAATTTTTTGTATAACTGTAATTGTACGCAATAAAGTGAATTCATTAATTTATAACATCTTAGTGATGTCATGAAGATATTTCGTTTTATGTTACTACTTTGACATGTCGTTTCGTGGATAAATTTGGGATAAATGACTAAATTGGTAACATTACTATGAAATCCATAATCATCATCTTTTATCGTTCGTTCGTTGTACCTAAAGTACATGTTAAAGTAGTAAAATAAAATGACATATGAAGAAGAAGAAGAAGAAAAAAATATGACTTTAACGTCGATAAGATGTCGTATCCTATGGAAAAAATCATGACTAGAGAGTTAGGCGGTCGCACCTCTGGATCTGGGACGTAAAAATTTGTATAGGAACAGGATCGAGGATGTAAAATATTTGGATAGGAACTGGATGTAGCCCGTCGTACGGTGGTTGGAATCAGACAAAACTTTTAGCCATTTGGAACGCTAGGTGGCGCGACTCGTACATCGTCTCCGTAATAGAAAATTATTTAAATACAAATAGATATCGCCTAATGAATTGAGTGATAAATTTCAATAAAACGTATCACAGATTCATAAAAGCTTAAATATCCAGCTGATCCAGCTCAAATAAAACCTGTAAAGAAAAATAAAACAGGAAAAAAGATCGCAAAGAATTGTGACAAAAATAAACACAATATCAGTGGCAGCATAAATAATACAGTGTAAAAGTAAATAAAAAGAGTGCAGAGGAAAGTGCGAGTTAAAATATATACAAAAATTTAAAAACATACAAATGAGTAACGTTATTGTCACTTGATTCAATTTATAAGACAAAAACAAAAAAAGAATTTGTCTTTCATAAAAAATGAAATAGATGGAATCAAAAGTGAGATCTGATCTGTAAAATCAGTAACTGAAAATATAACAAGATATTCGTAACAAGACAAAGCTCCCAGAAAACATAAAAATGTACTCAAACCAAACTCCATCACAAAATCAATATTTACAATCGGTCAAAGAGGAGTTGAGTAAGCGTATGGATAATGGCGATAGCAGCCTAGTAATTAAATATGTCAAAGGAATACCACGGATCATTGTAGATAAAACCACACAAAAAAACTAATTACTCCTATACTACAAAAAAAATTGTACTACCGCATTACATGATCAAGTAATTGATAAATATGAGAATATCCCTCTTACTCCATCATCATTATGATTCCTTTACGCCTTTGGTGTTTGGTTTTGATTGTAAATTTTTTGTATAACTATAATTGTACGTATAACTATAATTGTACGTAATAAAGTGTATTCATTAATTTATAACATCTTAGTGATGTCAACCTTCGCAGTATTCGGAATAGAGAAAAATTTGACGAAATTAAGTGCATATTGAGAGCTATCCGAAGGAAGACTAACATAACACACACTCACAACACACAATACACACATTCACAACACAATACTCACCCACGAACTCATTCATTCATTAATTTTGGTTCTTGTTAACATTAAAAGATGTACTTGCCACAAAGCTGGAGCGAAATGGTCCCAATACAAGTATTTTATATTACTTACTGGGATAATTTCAAGATTGTAAATGATGGAAATAATGTTAATAAAGAACATTTTTATTTTTTATTATTATTTATTCTATTGTTCACCGAGACGTGGTTAGTCTCTCAAGAAGAAGCCCAAATATACCAGATACCCGATTATATACATATATATAATTATAGAAAAACGGGAAGAGGTGGCGGAATTTCCATATATATACATAACACCATAAAGTTCGATTTAACGGAAAACCTTATTGAAAATGGGAACCACTATTTATGGATATAGGTTGAGAAGCTGTCACTTAATATTGGGCTTATATATAAACCTGATGGGAGCGCTGAAATAGAAAGTTTCCTAGATATTCTCTCATCTCAATTAGGGGAAAGAAAGAGAGCTTTACTCTTTGGTGACTTCAACACCGTCCTTCTCACGGAAGATACCACGTCATGCGATATAAGAATTACATGAATCTGGATATAAAATAATAAACAAAATCGACACAGCATATGCTATAAGAGTCACAAGCAGTACAAAAAATAGAATAGATCATGTTAGAACAAATGTAAACAATCATTAATTCTCTCTTTCCATTGTTGAATCATCCATATTTGGTCATAAACAACTATACCTTGAAATTGGCAAATAAGTACCTGAAATTAAGCAAAAGAATGAATATATTGCGATTGACTACGAGAAGCTTTACAAAATCAGCACAGAATCACTTTACAACGATAGCGATGATGATCACAATAAATTAGAAGATTTTATATTTAAAAAAATACAGGTAAGCAAAATAAAAAATACCAACATAAATAAAGTCAAAGATAGCTCTGTTCCCTCCAAACTATTATCTGATTCCGAACTGATTACAGATGGTACTGAAGTTTGTAACCACTTTCATTCTTTCTTTTCGTGTATTGGTATGAATCTAGCCCTAAAAATGTCATACGGATACCAGCAAGATCATGATGTATGAACACAAATACTAACACGAAATAAAATTTACACGAATTTCAACCTTGTAGTATAGATGAAGAAAGTAAGATAATAGATGACCTAGACACTAACACCAGCACTGGGTTAGAAAATATTTCCCCTAAAGCAATCAAGTGTCTAAAAAATGTCATTAAGTTAGTACACTCAATTAACAAATGCTTGAAAACTGGAATCTTCCCTGATTCACTCAAAGTAGCCAAAGTCAGTCCCATATATTAAATTTCAGGTCAATATCTGTCTTGTCCATCATATCAAAAATATTTGAGAGAATTTTGTGTTATTTTGAGCTTAACGACTATCTATCTGACAAAAAACTATTGACGAACAATACAGCTTTCGGTCGAAATCGAGTACACTTACAGCTACTATAGATTTAATAACCTAAATAAAAACTCATATTGACAAAAAATGTATTGTTTTGGGAGTATTTATCGATCCGAAAAAAGCTTTCGATACTCTAAGTCCCCAAAAATTACTCTTGAAATTAAAATATATAGGCATAAATTTTACTAGTAAATATGTAACATACGGTATACCACAGTGTTCCATCCTTGGTCCGATAGTGTTTCTAATTTATATTAATAATATAAATAAAATTGGTTTGACTGATCACCTAACATTATATGCTGACGATACATGTCTGTTTTATTTTGGTAAATCTATCCATGAAATAATTCGCGAAGCGCAAAAAGATCTAGATATCGTAAACGAATGGTAAGTAGTAACAGTACAGACGTATTTACAGTAACAGTAAATACGTCCAAAACATCTTACATGATTATTTCGGCAAAAAATAAAGATATCCCAGATTTTGAACCTCTCAAAATAAATAATGAACCTCATTCTGTGCTAGATAGCTGATAACTTTGAATGTGAAAAGTAAATTACTTAACCTCTCTAAAATTACTAAATACGTGTTCGCACCTTACTTGACATTTGTTTTTTATGGGTATCTAACGTCACTAAACACAGAATATGTTGTTTCAAATGTGAAATAAAATATTTTATATAGTCCAAGAAAAATATATATGTTTTTATATTCATTTTTGGTGGTATATACTCGTATACGGTGCATATAACATAACGTACTGTTCCGATATGCAGTTCGATAAGCACATGGTCTACAATAGACTCAGTTGGGGACGGAGGGCCGCGGGACGTGTTAGCCGCACACGCAACAGTCAGCGGTCTAAATATGGGCAAAGTGTAGGGCGGATAGAGAAAACCCAGGCATTTCGGGAATAAATCTTATTTGCCCGATAAACGCCCGATAAATGCCCAATCTGAGGGCATAAAAAATTTAAAATTAATGAAAAAAGTTATTTAAGGATTGAAGAAAATATCAATGATTTACAAATTAATATTGAATAATTTAGAAATTATGTAGGATATCAAACAAAACTTATAAAAAAATTAGTTCTGATTCACTTACTAATTCATCGCCGCCGAGCATGAAATATTGAAGTTGAACCTATGATCTTTGGTTAGTGGAGTGTGGTTAGTGGAGAGATATTATTAAGAAAAACACCTGAGATCTTTGATTAATGGATTGTGGTTTGTGGGGGAGATATTATTAAGGAAAACACCTGAAAAATCACCACCTAAGTGGGTGAACTAAGAATTAATTTTTTTTAAGAAAATCTGTCAATTTTAAAGTGAGTGAATGAGAGTGATCAAATATTTGTTTCAAAGTTTAAGGTTGCTATTGCTATGAAACTTTATCACTAATAATTATTATAATGTAGAGATTCGCTAAGAAATGATATTGATTATTGATTTATTATTTGGTTATGATTTAAAAGGGTGAGGACATATTTTAGCAATAGTAAAGAGTATACAACTTTATTAAATATGTTGCGAGGTCAAGCATCTTTCTATACTATTTCGAACTTATCAATTCTTCGGAAGTCACGTAATGCTGTCTCAAGATAGCAACTGGAGTCGTTAACCCTCATCAATTACCACCGGACTTGCATGGTGGTGGTTGGACTGGCCCAATCGCCGTACGTAATTCTATAGATATGGAAGGTCTCAAGAGATCGGTAAGGTATTTCTGTTCGGCGGACGAAACGAGAATTACAAAGTTGTTTTGGAAAAACAACTTATTTGCTTGAATAAATTCACGATCAAAAGATATAAAAACGAAATTATTCAAGCGAAACTTATTGAAGAAATAAAATAAATATGGAAGATTAATAAATATGAATAAAATAAATGAAAATAAACTTCTAAGTGTTCCCATAACATTACGGCATAATAAACAACGTTTATATAAGTAAATAATACTTTTACTTATATATTGTAATAACAAGCGCATTATTACTAATCAATCACTGTCAGTATCGTATACATGTTCAATATTTATAAATTCAATATCATTAGTTTGGCTTGAAGTTGATGCTACTGGTTCTATATATTCTAATTCACAGTCTGTGAGAGAAGATTCTATTGTACATCCTTTTGCAAATGATTTCGCGATATATCGTCTTGACTAGCATCACAATACTTGTCGAGACTCCCTTCACTGTGTACTGAACGACCTTTCTGTTGCTGCAGATGTACAGGGTGCAGTCAATACTCTAAGTGCGACTTTACTTAGCTGGCTAGAACCACAAATACCTTTCCACCACAAGAAAGGACACATTTTCTCGGCTGCTTTCCAATTGAATGATTTACTCCAAACTCCTTCTTACCTCTGTACTGGGCAAGACTGTGTATGAATACTTTCTGTGAGAATTCCATTGCTTCAGTATCTTCAACTTGGTTGAGTTCAACGCCAATAGATTTTGGATCGAGCATATACGCCGCATAATGTATGGGTTTTAGGCATTGTTTAGCTCTGTTTTCAACAGATGTTTTTATGTTTGCTTTATTTTCATCGTCAAGCACTGTGATTGTCGGTAACACAAATAATATCTTTGATTTTAAGTTTTTAAATATTATATATACTTCGTGTATATTCAATTCACCGCTTTACTGTGGAGATTCCACAAATTCGCACCAAGCGATTCGCCTCTACATTCATCGTGCGAACTGCGAAGCTGTGGAATTCGCTGACCGACTCGCTGTTTCCGGGCAAATACAATCTGGGACTCTTCAAGTCAAGAGTGAATCGGTTCCTTCTAGGCAAGCACGCTCCATCTTAGACCACTGCATTGCTTACCGTCAGGTGATGTGTGGTCAAGTGTTGCCTATCTATAATAATAAAAAATAAAAAAAGAATTCGTTGCCTTCTAGTTTAAGTATACTATCTGTCACTGGCTCAAGAATAGTAATATATTGCTCTATCATCAGCCAAAAATCTTCATTCAAAAGAGTACTTCTAATATTTGGCGTTGGTGGTAGATTTTCATTAACAGCTTAAGTCTGTAATGCTGCTTTATTCATTTTCATACTTTTTAAAACATTGTAATGGCTGCACCATCTTGTTTTACATGGCAGCTTAAGAGTCTGATTACAATTTTTCTCTTTCCTTATCTGATTTATTTTTTCAATTTCACTACTTAAATTTTCGCTAGCGTGACGATTTTCTTGTATATTAACACTTTTTATAAAAACAGACTCTGGCTTTGATATTAAGATGTTTATTATACCTTCATTACATGTGTCAGTCCACCCATCGCATTGTAGGTGTAGGAATTTCGATGCTTTTAAGTCATTACTAATATCTTTGTACATTTCCTTGTATATCTTTTCCAAATATTTGGAAGCAATCATCTTTCTATTGGGTAAACTAAAATTCAGTTTGTGAAAAAACTTAATCCATAACGGGTGTTCGACCACTGATAAAGGCGTCCCTGTTATCAATAGGGCCCTTGAGAACTCTTCTCTTAATTCATTACCAGTTTCATTAGACGACGACCTGTTCTTATCTAAATTAATAAGAGATTCTGACGTTGATTCTGATATAGATGTACTAGCATTTCGGTTAACATCTGTAATTTGTTTTTTTACTGATTGTGGTTTTACTGAATGTTAAAAGATGTTTAGACATTTTTTTTAGGCATGACAGTGCTAAAAAATAAATTATTTATTTAATATTTTTTTAATTTTAATTACTATTAAATATTTATTTGTCGATACAGTTTTTATTTCAATGTACTGTTGAAAGGCTGATTGATTGATTGAATTGAGGTTAAAATTTACAGGAGGGATTTAAAAATTAATATGTACATTAACAAAGTATTTACATATTACTATTATTTCGCGAAATTTATGTCTCTTAGACCAAAATGGATTATACTTACATAGTTTTTCTACAGCAAATTTACTGAAAAAGAGCTAAATGACATAAAAAAACAGTATTCCCTATATACGTTACTTCATAGGGCAACAATAATGTACATTAGATATTTTTTTTTTAATTTGTATTCCAAAAGATGACATATGTCTCGATATCATTAAAATTTTGACCTTGGATCAATTAGCCTTTTAACCAGCGAGAAGAAAATTATATGTCTTAATCTATATCTACAATCAAAATAAATGAAATGTATAAAACAGACATAAGAACACTATAAATGAGTAGAGTCAACTAGCTACAAAATACTGAAAATAATTTAACTTACATATTACAATAGTTTCTTATTAGCTATATTCAACCAAGATATCTGAGCAAAATACGTAAATAGTAAATTTAATGTCTGACTTACCGTACTTAAGCACTAATAGTACCACCTCACTTGGAATTGAATATAATAAATTGAATTGAGTTATCAATATAGCAACTACACGCGCGAGTATCGTCGGTCTCAACTCAACTGACTAAGGATGCTTATTAGCGGTATACAGCAAAATGAGGGATGTGTTGTGAACGAGGTGTGTCCCCTCTTGTGTCGGCTCGTACACCTCACTGTTAACTTGTTTTTTACCGTTTCTAAATAATACAGAACATTTATAAATAAGCGATTAATATTTTCAATAAATACCTTGGCATGAAACGAAGAATATAAAATAACATGCATATATATGATGAGGGTGACATGGTCACTGCGTGACAAAACCCTCAAAGAAATAAAGAAAAAAAAATATTTTCGTTTAACAATAAAACACTACTAAATGCATAAGTTCAACTTTCATTTAATGCAAAAAATATACAACAGTGGGTAGTCCGCAGGAGCTATTACGAAGCCCAAATAGATGGTCCATATCGGAGGACTATCTTTAAAATAACACTGCAGGCGTGGTTCCAACGTGGATTTATTCCATTTTCTCACTTTTCGTACGAAAATATAACGAGATGAGCGTGATGTCGTCAGATGTCTTTACTCCTCGGCGATCAGAAACAGAATGTGTGCTAAAATGACGGCAATTTGCTTTTGTTAACGAACTGTCAAAGTCAGTGTCAACAATCTAATAAAATAAAAAGTATCGATGATCACGCTCTCTCTACAATCGAGTAATTAAGTAATCGAGTAACTAGCAATTAAAATAAAAGAAACTAAATCAAACGATTTTCGTAAAGATGATGCGACACATGCATAAGTTCAACGCGTCGCGTTTCTGTAACAAAATAGAAGAGCTTTTCTGAGCTAGGTATTTGTAAACCTAGGCATTTGAGAATTTCGATTCGAACTAGATTTCGACCATCATTTCTTAAACATCAAATTTATTACCAACGAGTATTTTATCACAATTGTTATAAAAAACGGTAGTTAAGTTGTTTAGAAAAATTTAGGAAATTGTTTAGGAAAATGAGCTGTTTTATCAAGTATATTTGGTCAATGCAAATGCTCCACGCATACTTTCATTGATTATTGTACTCGGAGCAAGTATAATGCTGTGGTCATAAGCGGTCCTGTACACCGTGGTCCACAGTGGCTCAAAAGGAGATGGGGAAAGGTCGATGCTGGGGTCTGTATTGTACTCGGAGCAAGTATAATGCTGTGGTCATAAGCGGTCCTGTACACCGTGGTCCACAGTGGCTCAAAAGGAGATGGGGAAAGGTCGATGCTGGGGTCTGGGTCTTAGATGAGACCGTGGTCCCCAGAGGCTCTAAAGGAAACGGGAAGAACGAAGCTGGGGTCTGGGCCTTATTTATGACCGTGGTCCCCAGAGGCTCTGTGAAACGACTTAAAAGTTGGGAAGTTCATAGGATGAGATTTATACAGTCTTTTCACAAGAAATTTTTGATTGTTGACTTGAACTTTCACGAAAATGTTATCTCTCTATCAAACAGCGAGAAATATAGAGTTTCTAATAATACCACTAACCATTTACTAGGCATCTAATTGATGTGCAGCGCGGTAGATTCTTTTCTCGGTCTGTCCTGACTTTAACTAAAGCAAGATTTTGAAACCAATCTAAACTTTAATAATCAGAGATCGTTTTTACTTTGAGTTTCTTTAGTAATAAGAATTTAAGGGTTAATAAATTCTATCATCAAATCTTATTTACAATGAAAGTATGCATAAACAACAAACTGGTTTGAGAATCTCGATTGTCCCACTTAACCAGCAATGCAATCACACTTTTTCAATTTTATTTTCACTTAACTAGTGATTTTAAGAGTGTTACTAATTCTATTGCCATGAATTCTTCACGATATTAATTACTTTATAAGGGAGCAGTCGATTCCAGTATCATAACAAAATGAAAACGACTCACCAAAATACTGCAAAATACTAGCAAGGGTAGCAATGATGCAGACGTCTACACGTCGCTCACTAACAATGCCATCAGACGAGCCATCAGTTTCGCCACCGTTGCATCTTCTTCGGCTACAGGTATCTTGAGAGTAGTGACAATCTGTTCCGCAACTGTTCTTCATGTCAGGAACGCTTGGTTTTTCCCACGAAGGCTTTAAGTGTTTCTTCTTGTATCGAGAGGCAGAAATGTTGCCAGGATCGAGTTCGGGCAGATGCACATGTGACTCGACGACGGTACATGTGACTAACGTGGATGAGGGCGAAAAAGTTTTGTTTTTGTTACCGCAACAAGATTTTCCATATCCATGATATCTGTGTGTCCACTTGGTCGATTGCATCCCACTTCTGATAAAATGGCGGCAATTTGCTTTTGTTAACGAACTGTCAAAGTCAGTGTCACCATTCTAATAAAATTAAAAGTATCGATGATGACGCTCTCTCTACAATCGAGTAATTAAGTAATCGAGTAACTAGCAATTAAAATAAAAGAAACTAAATCAAACGATCTTCGTAAAGATGATGCGACATATATATTTTGCTTAAAAATATAAATGCCCAGATAAATGCCCACTGGGCGGGAATTTACGGGCGCTTATCAGGAAAAAAACCCAATTCACCCAAAACGCCCGGGTATTTTCCCATCACTAGCGATGTCACAATCTCTGCGAGTGAGCGTAGCACCGCCATCATGCCAACCGGTACTCACACGGTTTCTATCACAACGATAAACAAGATATCGCGAATCTATAAATTAATGATTAAAAATATCAGAGTATAGCCACGTCTCAGTCAAAATTATTACGTCATAAGTATGTTGAAGAATGCCCATGTAAACCGTATGGAGTTTTGTTCTCAAGCCACGGCAATTTTGATAGTAAATACTTAAATTATTATACATTATTGTGGTTCATATATACATGTATTACTAATGTGATATAGTTGTTTGAGTGATACCACGAGTGACAAAGAAAAAAATTAATGAAGACAGATGTGTTATATTTTGGAGATACAAATATTTTTAGTTTATTATTTCTTGGCACTCTTCGTATAAATAATAAATGTATTAGTACTTACCAATAGCAAGGTGGTTATGCATATGATAATTATTTGCTCACCAAAATCAAACATATTTAAGTAAGGAAATAGTTTAATTATGAAGATGACTTCTCCTATTAAAATAGTGGTGACTTGAAATACGAGGTAACGGTTGTAAAGCCATTTTATCCAAATATATATTTCTTTATCTGAATTTGAAACTGGCCAACCTCCGATAGTCATTAACATGAATCTAAGAATTTTCATGTAGTTTATAGACAACGAATCTGTTGAATACCTGCAAGATATAATGAGAGTCTGCGTTACAGCCTTGCGCTCTATGTTAATATCTGAAAATAGAATCTAATATGATATAAGTCAAATTGGTAAATTATTTAGAAGTTTATGTCGTCTTGCCCTGTTTCCAAACAGTTACAAAGATACGGCGCAACCATATTTTTGAATTTTTTAAAAATTACTACCTATGCGATTGCTTATCTAGTGCATATTTCGTGGCTATATTTCATGATCCAACTGGCTATTTCATGAAATACCGCTAGTGCTATTTCATGAAATGGCCACCTAATATTGATTATATCGTTAAAGCATCAATTTTTAATGATATGGCAATCTACGTTTGGCCATATTATTAATGTAGGATTTCCAAAAATGAAATCTAATAATTTGCTGAAATAGCTTGTTTATTAATTAGTAGCGTTATAAATTTGTGCCTTCTGTTTTTCATTGTTTGGTCACCTTACTTTCTTTAATTTGTTGTATAACCTAAAAATAAAAATACATCATGTATCACAAAAGCAATGCGACATCAGCCCCTTTTACTGAACGTAACGTGAACGCTAATTATTTATTGATTTGGCCAGCAAGTATTTTCCATATAATGAAATAAGACCATTTCATGAAATGACCGGCCGCATTATGAGTTCAATGAAGTCATTGGCCACGTTACATACACTACTTACATGACTATGTTATTCTATATTTCTTCGCCAACGTTAATAGTCCCGCCTATGCTAT